TCTGATGAAGGGTCTAGGCCCGAAACGTCAGCCTTCCTGCTCCTGTGATGCTGCTTGACCTTATAATGTTCCCCCTGCCTTCTGAGCAGTTCTCTTGGGCAGAAATCAGAGGCTAGATGTTATGTGACCCTGCAGGTATGTTTTTGACATGGAGGCATGTAAAATAAGTTGGGTTCCTTGCAAACCGAATTCCCTCCCACCCTGAGCTGTCTAATATGGGACACTCAGGAGACCACTCACTGATGTATCATTCACCATTTTTAAATGAATAGATATGTCAATTGAAACAAAAACTGGAACTATTGGAAACTTGTTAAATGCTCAATTGTCTCTAATATTACCCTGCCAGACCATAATATGACTAGTATAGACTGGTGGGTGGAAATAGAGAACTTTTTTTTGTTCAAAGTGCTTTTGAAAAGGCAGAAAAGAATTGGGATAGTATACTCAGAGGGTGGCCTTTGTGCATGGGAGTAACCCTCCACCACAGATAGTGCTCCCTTGCTTCCTCCCATCTAGACTTTAATACCCACACCTCCACCTGTCACTCCATTCCTAAGATGCTTAAACCCTCTTGACACTGCTGACTCTGTTGGAGCTTCTGGATGATCAGATTGTACAGCCTTTCTTCCATTGTCAGCCAGAAGTCCCATTCTGTACAAATTTAGACCATCATCGCTGAGGGGCAGCTTCTTATCAAATTGTCAGCTGACCACCAACTTTCCTTCTATGGGGGAGAGTAGTCTTCTCTCACCTGTAGAGGTAAATTCTACCCCAGGAATTTACTGTCTGGGAATAGCAAACAGAAAACTATAAATGATCTGTTCCCTCCAGCCTATTTTAGCCTGAGATACATATTTTAACGAATTATTTGTGGAGTCTTGCTGATAGTCTATTTCATGTTGAAAATGCCTGTTCCCAAAACTTGAGAAGTAAAGCTAATTTCCTATTACAATTATTGTATTGATTCAATTGACACCATTGTGGGAAACCTTTGAAGTATGCCATGTGTAACAAACCCTTGACCTGTTTTTAAAGAACACATTTTCATATCATCCCTCACAAATTTGGCAAATTTGTGAAAGAGAATCTGCATAAAAAATGCAATCTAAAACAAAAAATGGAAAAGGTCACCATTTGGTCCTCACAAAAATAGGAGTCATCACAGGCTATTGCCATTCTATTTAACAGAACTGGATATTGCTTAGATATATCCAAAACTTCTGAAGAAGGGTCTAGGCCTGAGACGTCAGCCTTCCTGCTCCTCTGATGCTGCTTGGCCTGCTGTGTTCATCCAGCTCTACACCTTGTTATCCCATCTATAATTGATTAGTTTGAAATGTTGTCATTCTTATGATCATCATAAATGATCATCTTAGCCAGAAGTGAGGTATTTATATGTTTAGAAATTATTTAAGTATGTTTAATGCAATGATTCAGGATCAATAGCAACTTTTTATATAGTGCAGCCCAACAAATTGCACCAAGATTTATAATTCTCTGTCAAAGTTGGGGGAAGAAAGAACATTGTCAGATGATTTGCATGTTTTTCTTCAAAAAGTATGATGAAATCTTTGATTTGTCCTTCAACTATTGCAATAAATGGATTGGATCCCAGTTTTGTCTCATCAAACGATATTACCTCGATAATGTGACACGAATGTTAATCCAATTTTTTAAAACAAGTCCTTAAGCTGAATTCAAAACCTAACCATCTGATGTTGAGCAAAGAAAATTGAAGCACTCTTTCTACAACTTCCACTGCTTTCTCATACTGTAAATTTTCTGTGTCTCACATTTTGTTTAGCAATCATTTTCTCTCTCTTTGGCTTTCTGAATTGAAAGAAGAGCAAATACATGTGTTCCTTTGAGGGACCTCAAGTACTCCTACTGCTTTTGATGCTCATATATTCACCATATGTGAACCAGAACTATGCTCTACTTTGTCAATGGGTGTGCATGCCACACTAGGGTAATTAATTACATTCGTTAGAAATTGTGTGGGGTGGAGAGGGAGTGGTCACAAATCCAAGAACATGTCTGTAAATAGAAATGATCTGCATTTCATCATGGGAATCAACCAACTACTGATGTTTGAAAACAGCACCTTGTACTTATTTACTGTCAGCTTTCACAGCTTCCTTGTGTTTCATAAAATCATTTTCATGAAATAAGCTCATGGCTGGGGAGGAGACTGGCGTGGGGTGGAGAAAAGAGATAAATTTGAAAGGTATTTTCACACCCTGTAAAAAGCAGCTTAGGTCATCAGGCCTTTTTTACACCTAATCAAATGAGAGGTTTGCTCTGCAACAGTCGGTAATGTTATCAATGTTTGGAGTTTGCAGATTACAGTTGTCTGCTCAGCTACCAGAAGAAAGCCTGAGATTCAGCAGTTATGCAGCTGTTGAAACTTAAGAAGCTCCTTCTAAACCACGTGGTGAATTAACTGAAGACTTTTTCAGTTGAAGCTTCTCATCCCCTTCATATAAAATCCAATGCAGTTTTTGGTCAGATTGCTGGAATGCTTTAAAGTGGTTTGTACGAAAAAGCCTATGACTGATGTAGTTAATTTTGTTTTGATAGGCAAAGGAACCTTTGTGGGGGTATTACTGTTTTATTTTATTCAGTGAGTTTGTGGAGAAATGAGGATAGATGAGGAAAGTTTCTCTTCATTACTTTACCTTTGTAACACTGTCAAAATAGAACAGTTTCCTCTTTGATTTTCCGGTAAAATTATAAATGTTTTCTTCCAAAATACTTTGCTTTGTAGATTTGGCTTTATTTATATTAAACTGCTGAGTTGCCAATACATTTCCAATGACAGTTAGGCAGCTCATTATTTTGTTAGGGCAGGATCAAAAGGATCATTGATCACTCAAAAGAGGAAAAAAATAAAACAAGTGGAAAACAGCGAGATAAGTATCAAAACGAGTTAATCCAGACCATAACTATAGCTGATGTTTCTGCATAAATCCAGGTTGTCATGTGGCATACACATTTCATTATATCACTCGATCAGTTAGCCTTATTGGTTGCACATTGGGAATTGATAATTCCAATAAGCAAATTTATTTTTCTAATCCATTTTCTATTGTTACGTATACCTGTATACACACAAGCCAGGCAAACTATCCTGTGCTTAATCAAGCAAACTTGCTTTTGGGAGCCCAGACCACAATGCCACTGACATTGAACACACAGAATATAAATGTAAGGTTGAAGGTGAATGCAATTTAAAATACAAAGGTTATCCCCAAGCTTTTCATGAGGATTTCAGGGAGATTTCTTTTTCCCAATTTTACTAAACAGAGTGGATGCAATTGCTAAACTGGACTAGCAAGTGTAGGATCTGTCAACACAGATTGCCCTGGTCTTTCAGTTGATAAAAAAACACATTTAGAATGAATTATCTTTACAAAAAAAAACAAAAAATTAAATTAAGAACATCTCAAATGCCTTGCAGTAATTGAGCAATATTGAATATGATTTAATTTATTTAATTGCACAAAATGTCCAATGTTTTATTGGTATGACTGCTCTAGGCATGATTGGACTGAATAATGTTAGAATAGACCTGACAGCCTCTTTACCAAACTTGACCATAATTGCTACATTGCATTGAAAAGAAAACTAAAAGTTCCATGGTTTTTAATGTAATGAAAAATAAACATAAAAATTTAAAACGAGGATGCACCAATTATGTATGAGTGGATGTTATATAGTTTATTATGTTGGACGTTCGTAGATCACAAAACATCTTCATCCAGTGGTAACTATATACATCCATATATATATGATATATATAAATTTTTCCCTCCAAGAACTCTTGGCTTGATTTAGGTAGATAAATCGAGGTTAACAAGTCAGTCAGAATGAATTACTATTTCAAGGCCAGCATCCAAACGGGTACCAACTATTCAGGGATGTTGAGCTGTTTCTCTGCACATATGATCTCCAGATCAGCTTTTGCTATTATGTTTCTCAGAATCTCAACTTCCCGAATCACGCTGCTGTCTGCTTGGTCCAGGATACATCCCTGTCGACCAACATTATCTTTAATGATAATAACTGCATCTGATTAGGAATTCCATCAGATCCTTGTCAGTTAAATGTCCTGCATTAGGAGAAAGGTTGTACTTAAAACCTGACAGTTTTTGTTTATTTTTAAAGCTTTACTATTTTCCTTACTGTTGCCTAATCTGTACCCTATAATATCCCCTGCTGAGAAAGTTTTAAAAAAAGGCTTATCCCTGATCACTGCAAATGCTATTCTATAATATACTATCTTGAAATGCACAAAGGTAGTAAGAGTGACACTTTTTTCCCCTCCAAGTGAAGAGTAGCTTGGGCTTTCCTTACTAATCTCCAAATTGACATGACTAGGCTTGATGACCATAATGTTTTTTAAAGAATTCAAATTTACAAAACAAAATCTTCTTTGAGTTTTCATTCAATCTGTAGCCTGTTATATTCTCTATCCAATTTTTAATTATTTCATTGTTCAATGTTCCACAAATTTCAGCAAGGAAATATGTATTTTACACAAGACGGTTCGTGAACCATAAATACAGAGGAAATCTAGCGATATTGTTGAATTGGTAGTGATATCTAGTAACCGCTCACCTGTCACCCATTGAATCCAGATAACATCATATTTTTTGATGGGGGGAGTGAAGTCCTGTAAGGCAACACAGAAATAATCCTTCACTTTTCTCACGTCTTTTCCTATGTAGGAAACAGCTTCAAATAAAAAGTTATCCATCATGTCCACCACATCAGCAGAGGAGAAAACAGGCAGTAGGACATATCTAGTGACTCTGCCAATTCCACAGCCACAATCCAAGACATATTTGGTACCAGCTTTTCCTGGACCCTATCAAAGTTGAGGATACATGATTATTTATATGGCAGATTCTTATTAGAAAGGCATATATTCAGAATGTTTATGCACAAATACTACCATGAAAACATTTTTAATTTTGCAGTCGTCAGAGAAAATGATCCAACTCGAAGGACACTAATTGCATTGTGAGAGAAGTTATAGAAATTGAAAATTAAGTTCAGAAGGGAAGTCATGTTAAACATTCAGTATTGCAGAGTGCAATATAATAGAACTGACAATGTGCAATCACATTTTATAAAAGTGAACTGAAGTTTGTTTCAAGGACTGCTGTGTATAAAATGTACGGTTTGCAGTTGTACTAGTGTGAGTGTGGGAAGAAGATACACTTCAGTTGTTACAAAAGCATCTCTCACTAATGTTTAATGCCAACCCATGTATACTTTCAATCATAAGCCAATCATAATTTTTGATAGTGTAATATAATTAAATCCTTTTGCTGGTGAAAATTGTACAAAAGAAAAACAATTAAATGGTCAATGTAATTCATCAGCAGAAAAGTATATTCCCTACACATCTGAATGGCTATGAACAAATGCTAAAGTGAAATCTAAAAGCATAATATTTGAAAGAAAATATGGTACATTCAATCACATATCTGCATGTAATTCCATCCTGTCGACAGCCTGCTGTTATGACAATATTTACTAAACTTTTTAACTTACCAAAATCTTCAATAGATTCACGGGATGAGATTTCAACTTACTTGTAACCTATCTACTTACACTGAGTTGAAATTAGGCTCTATGCTGTTTTGTTAGTTGGTTACGTGAATTTTTTTTGATTTCGAAAATAAGGCCAAAATAAAAAGCAAAGTACACCACATATATCTATGTTCTCCACTTTCACAGAGGAGGACAGATCATGAAGGGTGCACCACAAGATTAGGTTTTGGAAGTACAAAGATTGTCAATTAGCCATGTTAGTCATTTTACACTGATTATCCTACACAGCAATGTTCACTATTTTTCACTGGGAAAAGTGCAGAAGGCTTCCATAAGGTGAAAGGCAGGACCGTATTAGTTTTTGAAATTACACGGGTAGTGCCATTGTTAAATACAACAACAAACATAAAAGGAAATTGTTAAAAAAACAGAAAATAATGTATCTTAAAATGTGATAATAATAGATTGTTATCTTTGTTGAAGGTAACAGCTTGCAATTTTGAGTAGAAGCCATCATTTGAAAAAGACGTACCTAGCCGATTTCTCTTTAAAACATTGAGTGACCTGCTGTTCATTGCAGAAGTCGGATTTTATTTAACGTTTGCATTAAACTTTTATTTTGACTTTGCACTGCCATTCTGTTTTATATCTTGTTCATTAAGTTCAATATCCATATATCTGACAGTCTTGTCAGAAATCAAGAAGACGGGAGAGTGACTATCTGTATATTTTATTTTTTCACTTGAGCTTCTAACATGCAAAAGCCATGCTTACAAAAACTACACTTTAAACCAGAGGACTGGAGGATTTAAAATAGATTGAGTTTCCTTTTGTTTTTTACACATTATGCACATTCATCTCAGTGGACATTCCTAGTAACATAAGAAAAAGCAGCAGGTCATTTGCCTCTTTGAGCCTATGCTGCTATTGATTAAGATAGTTGATGATCTGATTGTGGCCTTAAGTTGACTTTCCTCCCTGTTGCCATAACCCTTGACTACCTTGTAGTTCAAAAATCTGTCTATTTTAATCATTGAATATATTCAAAGCTCAGCCTCCACTCCTGATGATTGGGTTAGAGAATTCCAAAGATTGATGACAGTACGAGAGAAGAAATTTCTCGCCTTTATCGATGTTAAATGGGCGATCCGCTGTTTTCAAACTATTTTCTAAATTCCCCCACAAAGGGAAACACTCTCAACATTTACTCTGTAAAGTCAAACTTAGAATCTTATATGTTTCAATAAGAGCACCTCTTATGCTTCTAAGACCTAAATGGTTTAGGTGCAGCCCACTCAAACCCTTCATTCCCAGAATCAACCTAGTGAATCTCTGAAATGACTCCAATGTAAAGACATCTATTAATAACTGAGGTTAATGAGTATTTTGAAATATATCGTTAAATATCGGCCATTGTTTATCTACTGCCCTACCTTTTCCCCTATTTTTCAGGTCCACTTTAGCCAACTCTGACTTCATATTTTTGAATTGTCCTTAAGCAAGAGTCTAGCTGCAGACACAAATTGCTAACCTTCAAACTGAATGTGAAATTGTCATGTTAAGATCACTCTCATTAGGGGAATCCTTTACTAAGTGGTCATTAATAAAATCTGCCACAATATACATCATCAGACCATAAATAGCCTACTCACTGGATAGTTCCACAATGTATGGAAAGAAGAAACTGTCCTGAATACAAACTTTGAACACTTTGTCAAAGTCACCTTTGCCAGTTTGTTTTGTTCAATCTATATGATGATTAAAATCACCCTCAGTTATTGCAGTACCTTTCCTACAAACTCCTATTTCTTAATTTATCCTCTGTTATACAGTGTAGTTACTACTAATGAGTGCATAAACTACCCCTAGTAGTGATTTCATTCCCTTGCTATTTCTTATCCCCACTTATACTTACTCTGCATCTTGTTCTGCTGAGAAAAGATCATTTCTCAGTACTTATTCTGAATTCATCCTTTATTAACAGAATTATGCCACCTCTTTTTCCTTTTTTCTTATACTTGAGAATGCCAAATACACGAAATCTCCAGTTCTAATCATGGTCAACTTGCAATGACATTGCACATCATACATGTGTCTATACTGCAGTCAGGAGGATGATGGCAACACAATTGTATATTATGGTGAACTGGACTGCTGACAATGCCACACATTAACGGTCTGCTGTTACGTGCTGCCCTAATGTTTCCACTTTACTCACAGCATCAAGTTTGCCCTTGTCAAATTCCTTTTAATAGGTTTTAGAAAAAGGACCATAGGGTCAGGACAAGGCTGTTCAGCCCAACATGCCTGCTCCACTATTCGATACAATCATGACTGATTATCCACTTCAGTGTCTTTTTACCCACACTATCACAGATTCCATTGCATCATTGATATTTCGAAATTTAAATGTACACAATGGCTGAGCTTCCACACCTCTCTGCAACAGAGAATTCCAAAGATTCACAACCTTCTGAATAAAATAAATTCTCATAATTTTGCATCTAAGAGGCTTATCCCTTATCTGGAAATTATGTTCCCTTGTTCAAGACTCCCCAGCCAGGGAAAGCAATTTACCTGCATCGACCCTGTCTGTTTCTTTAAGTACTTTGTAGGTGTCAATGAAATCACCTCTTATTCTTCAAAACTCTCGAGAGCACAGGCCCAATCTCTCTTCACAAGTCAGACTAGCAGCCAAAGTGAATCTTTTATTGCACACCCTCAACGGCAATAATATCCTTCCGAGGGTAAGGAGACCAAAACTGTACATAGTACTCAGATATGTCCTAACCAAGTTTCTATTCAATTTATTCTTTTATTTGAATCCTCTTGCAATAAAGATTAACACAACATAAGTTGTCCTACTGCTGCACCTGCACATTAGAATACCTAGATTCATTTATATGTCTACATTTTCCAACTTTAGCCATGTAAGCACAGTCTGCACATCTGTTCTTACCACCTGCTATGCTTTTGCCCTCTTATCAAATCTGTCTAAGTATTTTTGAAGCCACTCTGTTTCTTCCTCACAACACACGTTCCTACCAAGCTTTGCATCATCTGCAAATCTGAAAATATTCCATTTAGTCCACAAACCCAAGTCATTGATATATATTGTCAACAGCTGGAGTCCAAGTATGGATCCTTGCTTGTCAATAAAAGAATGACCCATTTATTCATACTTTCTGTTATTTTCCTGTTAGCCAATCATTAATCCATGCCAGTATATTTCCTCCTGTACAATGTGCTTAATTTTGATGATTGACTTCTGCGGGAGACTTTATCAAAGTTCAAACATACTACATCCACCAAACACCCTTTCTCATTCTTTTGGTAACATCTTCAGATAGGTCCTTCAAACTTGAAAGGTAGCTGGACCAGCCACATAATACTGTGGCTACAAGATTACAGGCCAGGAATTTGGTGGTGAATAAGTTAATTCCTGATTCCCCAGAAACGTTCCACCATTGACAGTGCATAAGTCAGGAACATAATGAAATACTCTTGAATTGCAACTCCAGCAATATTCAGAAAGCATGATTCAGCCAGAAGAAAGCAACGCACTTGAATGGCACCCCATCTACCACCCTATGTATGCATTCTCTCCACCATCAGCACACATAGACACCAGTTGTGGTGCCAACTAGATGCACTGCAGCAATTTGCCAAGATTCCTTTGACAATACCTTCAAAAATTGACAAGGACAAAAGGGATAGACAGATGAACTCATAACCACCTGAAGACTTCCCTCTGAGTCACACATCACTCTGACTTAGATAAATATTGTTGTTCCTTCATCGTTATTGGCTCAAAATCCTCTATCCAACAGCACTGTGGGAACAGAACACCTTCATCAGATGGATTGCACTAGTTCAAGAAGGGTGCTTACCAATACCTACTCAAGGGCAATTAAGAATGTGCAATAAGTGCAGATTTTATCAATGATGCCCACATTTGATAAATAAATAATTTTAAACTCTGACCCTTGATGGGGGTGGCAAGTTATTCAGCATGGTAGCATTACAGTTAAGTCTGATTTTGCCTTCATCTAACAGCTATGCATACACAGAAATGGGTTTGATAACAGCAATGAGGAATGTAAACCCTGACTGATTTTGGCTCTCCAAAAACTAATAAATCCAGATTAGGATTGAACCCGGGACATTGTGGCATGATTTCAAACCTTTGTGACCTATACTTCATCTCTAGCATTCCTCACTTACTTATGTTTGGAGTTAGCCTTGGTGTTACTACACTTATTTATTTGAGTGTCTGGTAACACTTCAGTTTAACAATGCCCTTTGGTATTCATTGTCTACCATTTCTGTTAACTTTCTGTAGTTACAGCTTTGGACTTACTCCTACGAGCTTCCTTAGAAACACACTGGAGGCCTCCACATCTATGCAGTTGAGTTCCAAAAAGTCTCCCATCATACCCTCCTCTGTTGCTGGAACCTCTTCATAGAATCGTCTAGCTCTGGCGTAGAACTGCATTTCACCATTAATCATCTCTCTTGTCAAAGTGAACAGCTTCACTGAAAGAAAATACAAAAATATAAATGTTTTTTATATGAAAAGAAACAAAGCTGGTTACGAAGGTTGTCATTTAATATGCTTGTACTCTCTCATTCATTGCTTCATTTCATCATGTGTCAGCCTCAATCATAGCATCACTAAAAGAAGCATTTTTAATATGTCACAATGCTTGTCCAAATTATTTGCTTTTAAATTTTACAAGAGATTTTGCCAGATAAAAACTGAGATAGGACTGTATATTGAGGATGACACATTACATTTCACCATCATGAAGTTGCCATGCTGATAATATATGTCAAGCATTTTAAAAAGTGAAATATTATTCTAAACTATTCATCACACTTTATCAATAAAACAGATGTTCTGGCTTGCAGCAAATGTGATAGTATAATATTTCTCAGTGAAAATGGCTGGGAGGTTGGCTATTGGTTAAATGAGTTGGAGTTTTAAACAAGAAGATATACGATGTAGTTTCAAATAATTGAAAGCATTACTGTCTCCTTAGTTTGAATCAAGATTGAATGCTGGGTGTTTAATAGTTAAGGACCAAAGACATTCAAAGTTTAGCACTTGGCAAGTTGTTTGGCAGTGATTTATCAACCCGCACCTCCATCTCCACATGTCTGTTTTTATAAGGACGGTGTTTTCCTGAGCTCGTTTTTAGAGCTTTTGTTTTTTTCTCCATGTGCGAGCAGGCAGAATCTGCCATCAAAGGAGAATCAGACCATCAATCCATACTGCAACGCCATGTGAAGTCATCCAGCTGGAGTTAGCCAAGGATGTTGCTGTTCCTACGCAGACCTTTTTTCACAATATGAAACAAACAAAAACTCGGCTTTTTAAACATATGTTATAACATGATATCTCACTTCTCAGTCATTTCAATCAAAACTGAAAGGCTCTTAGTTGACCCAAAGAGAGAGAGGCCAGATGATGGTAGTATTGATTCTAATGTACCTAAAGCTGGTTGAATGCAGGCACAATATATCAGTGCTCCAATAAACTGTGTTAGGATGTGGGTTGCACCCATAATTTTGCACAAGGCAATCAAGTTGCTATTCTTGACTATGTTGTCAGGATAAAGGCACTAAATGGAGAACAGATGTTCTTTTGCATCTTGTAAAAACTAACTCCAAGCAGAATCTGCAGAGGTCTTGGAAACAGTCCCTGTCTACCATCCCCTTCAGTAAATCATTCATTGCTTGACCCAGAAAGACAAAAACATGGGTTTAATGTGTATAAAATGGAGGGTGAGAATAACGAAACAAACAAACACAATTGTTTACATTGTTATTGTCTAGACCTTATTCGAACAATTGTGAATTGTAAATCCAGTAAAACCTTTCTTATGCTGCTAAAATGAGGCAGATTACAGAAATAATTTTGAAGTAAAAGTTTTCTGGATCAGCAATGCATTTTTTTCAAATGCTTTAAAAGTGTTATAATTACAATAATGGGGGGAACACAAATCCTGTCACAATATTGGAATGCATAAATTTGAAAGTCTGTTTCCTAAATACAGCCTACTAAAACTCCTTTACAAATATTATCATTCATTGCCAAAATTCCATGAAGGAAGCTCAAAGCCCCTGATCACATTTAATGGGCACTCTGTAATTTGAATATTTCCATAATGTTTGGAATAGTTCATTTTGCTTTTCCCAGGTTTTCAAACTAGAATTTGCAGGAAATAAGAGTTTTACAAAGGGGATTATGAGGATCACAGATTTATGTCTCACTGTAATTAGCTTTATATAAAGTTACATAGAGCCTACAGCAAGAAAACAGACTATTGAACTCAGTCATCAATGCTGATGTTTATGCTCCATATGAGTCTCCTCAGACTGATTCAGCTAATTCTATCAGCTTATCCTTCTATTCTTTTCCTTCTGATTGCTTACATAGCTTCTCTTTGAATGCAACTAAACTACTCTTCATGATAAAGATTCACATTCTTGCTAATCTTTGGGTAAAGAGATTTCTCCTGAATTCACTATTGGACCTGCTGGTAACTACCTTATATTAATGACATCTAAGTTTGATCTTTTCTTTAAGTAAATACAATGGCCTGAATTTTGTTCAAAACTTGGCTGTGTCGACTTTGGAGTGTTTCTCTTTTTGAGCCTTAGTGAGTGTTCTCATACAATTTTAAAGTGGTTCCCTCATTAAGTATGCACAATACAACCATGACACTGCTCTCGCACTATCTTGCACTCAGCAGCAGAGAAAGTGCTTACGGGTGCAGTGACAATCTGGTGTTGCTGCATTGGCGCCATATTTAAACCCCAGCTGCTCACCCATTCAAACACTTCAAGTCAATTCACTTTCACAGTTTGAATGTGTGAAAAATTCCAAAGTTGGTGACTGACAGAGGAAAATTGGCATCCGGATCTCAGACAGGGATCCGGAGATCCTGTTGGTTCAAGTGGTGGGGAGGAGAGCTGTTATCTTTCCCTTGGACTGACAGATTTTACCACAGCACCAGATCCTGATCTGAAGTTGCCATGAGAATTGATGTGGTCTCCGTGGTCCAGAGAAATGCCCAGCAGTACAGGAAGAAGGTTAATGACCTCTGGCACTCCACAAGAATAGGTGCCACCACCTTCTCTTGGTTACTTCATACTCACCATAACTCTGCACTGCACTCACCTCCCGTCAAGACTCAAGGTCTACCACTGTCATTATTGCAGATAGTATCTCCACTCAACAGATCTTACTCACCTCATGCCTGGCAAACTATTAATCCTTCCTGCCCTCTGTGCTTCCTACTCACTTGCTTGGGACACCTCCCCAACTTTGTTTACTTGCATCAACTCTAACAGTTGTGTCAGCCTCTTCCATCTGATTCATCTCTTCCTTTGTCTCATTGCAGAGGAAAATGGCCCATAATTCCACTGAAAGGGCCATGATCAGTGGTGGGGCAGCTGACATCTGTCTTGTCACTTATCAAGAGAAGAAGATCCTTGAGCTCACAGGAGGGAATGGAGGCCACACATGTGGTGATGTCGAGACATCCTCGTCAATTCAACCAAGCAAAATTCATTACGATATGCTCACTCATTAACCCCACTGTGAAGGAATGCCAAACATGCTCAAGCTTCCAAAAATTCTACCCAATCCATTTCCTATTCTGTGTTCTGCAGTCAAAAACAGTAACCACATAATGTTCTCCCAGAAGAGAGCAGCCCTCCAGCCACCAGGCCTTTCTCTACTTTCGAGGAAGAAGCCTCAGATCCCTCAGAGGAAGCACCAACAAGGTTGTGTCCTGTACCCAACACTAGCTCAGATGATGCCTCAGTAGCTATTTTTGCTAGATTTAGACTCATGAGCATATTCTGGTGAGCACATCATTGCCACATCTCCGCAGCTGGCCGAGGAAAATATTTGCCAGTTTTCTGGCACTCAGAGGACAGCCACAGACCAGGAACTTCCTCCGGTCCAGGCAGGAGTTGGTGTTGGCCATTCATAACTTCATCCAAAACACACAAATAAGCACAGGTATAGCAGGCATGTTTATTGGAAACACTAACTCAATTGGTATCATGTTGGTTCAATCATGCATGTATCTGGATGTCTCCAAGGATGGCGCAGAGGCTGCCATGACAGCCAGGTCCAGCGAACGTTCACTGGTTGCTGGAGATATGCTCAGATCTGCACTTCATCATTCTAGCCATTGGTGCTCAGCACCAACAGCAAGGCAACAGGGATACAAAGGAGATCAACCTCATACCAGGCACCTCTTCCACAGAAGGAGAGAGAATGGTATTAGCAGGCAACTATTTGGAGGGGTGACCACAGATAGAACCCCAGAAGTCTCCTCTCAGAACACTTCAGAAGTGCCTGGCCCCTCCAATCTGCCTGCAACACTCAACCTTGTGGAAATTCAAGCCATGAATCTAATTATGTCACCCTCAGCATGTCTGGGCTGTCTAGAAACAAATGCCTCCTTGGCTGTCTGCCCAAAACTCTAAGGTCAACTGACTCCAATATAGGGCAGGCTTTCTCCATCACATCTGTGGATCCCAAGTTCCTCCTCATTCAAAGCATCCGTTTTTTGCCTACATTCATTGCCCAGATCACAGCCAACACAGATTATGCAGCATATGCTGTCTGATGTATTCTACAAGGTCCCCCCAGGCTAATTGAGGCATTAGAACCTCACCTTGAGGAGACCTATCGTCTGCTTCACAATGCCCTTGTGTAAGAATGGGCTACGTTGTCTTGATACTCCATCACAGTCGAGGGTTTGATAGCAGGAGTCATCAGCCACAGTTGGAAAGGGCAGACCGTGACTCCCAGCAGCCATTGTTGGAAGGCTTCTGGCTCTTGTAATGAAGCAGGAACCTGAGTGCTTTCAAAGATACAGCCATCATGGCAGTTTCCAGGGTACCTGGTACAGATCTTTAAGATGTGGTCTTGATGTCACACATGACTTGGACATTGACTGAATGGAGCCCTTGCCTATTAATGGAGTTAGTTGTGTTACAATATGGAGTTCTCAAAGATATCACCCAACATCTGGAATGCTCCAACAGATGGCACAGTTCTGTGACAGTTTCCTGGGATTCCACATCAAGCAGTAGTGTTGCATCTTGGTCATTTGAGGAAATGACGAGACTGAAAGCCTACAGGCTTCCTACATTTTCTGCACATCCCCAAGAGATGTTATGATGCAAATTCTTCATTTGGTGGCTGATCAGCAGCATCTAGAGTTTGAATCTGGTCTTGGGTTTGCAGAAGCATGTGAATATCAGAGAAGATAAATGAAGGTTATTTCTACTAATCAAAGAATTATCAGTAAGATGATGTAAATGAAGTTTTGGCACAATAAACATAAAGGGGAAAATAAATTTGCTTGATTATTCAATAAAACATGCAGAATCAGAAAGAAGGATTGAAGCTGCCTCAAGTACAGCATTTAAGAGGATATAGGCCAAGTGCAGGGAAATGGATTTAGCGTGGATGGACATTTTGGTTGGCATGGACCAGTTTGGGCTGAAGGGCCTGTCTCTGTGCTGCGGGACTCTAGGAAAAATACTAAAGGTCACTTACGCAAAGAATTAAATGTAGTGTAAAGTTTCACATCACTTTGATGACTCAGGGAATGACATTATAAATCACATATCAAATTCAGAATCCTGGGTGATTGCTTTTTTAAAACTCCCACCTACTTTTCTCATCAGCCTAGTGATTGACAGATGCAGAAATTTAGACTCATCCACGTGAGCGCAGGCGTGCATGTGGAGTGTAATGGTAAAATAACACTATATATTCAAACAGAGCTCTGGTGATCTTCCTGTCCTTAGGACAATGACACAGTTATCTGGACCTAAGTGCTCTTTATAGATAAAGTCTGTCAATTAATATTTTAAAAAGTCAAAACTTTGTAAAGTATGTGGTTTTTTTTAAACACTGGTCAAGTAATGATTCTACATAACCTGCTATTAAAGTTTGAATTAGAAAAAAACCTATGTGATGGATCATCCTTTCACCCCAACCAACCATTCACTCTCTGTCATACACACTCCTACTCCATTTTATTCCTACCATTCTGGTTATTGCTTCTCTTGTTCTAAATGTGCTAACTTACAATCACCTTCCTTTTCTCTGCACACAGACTATATTGCACTCATCATTTACCCTTCCAGGTGTTACTTTAGCTGAACTTTGCAAATCCTTACCTTATTTGGTTTATGCTTTGTTCCTAAAACCTACAGATGCTCAACCCAAGCTGCTACTATTTCTTGTTACACCTGATCTTCTCTTCTCTTTTTAAAATTAAGAGCCATGTAATGGAGTTTTAGTTCCTTATCTCAGTCTGTTAACATTTTAACAAACATTGTAAGGTGATGGAAAATGTTTTAGTTCAGCAGAGACTGCTACGAACATTTACAGAATCTGCAATCCCTCATATATATTCCTATAATATATTGCATATGCACACTAGTTCAGATAATAATTGAAAAAAATGCACTTAATATTCTGTGGAGACACCAGCAAGCTAAATATTAACCTTTTATGAACATTTTAATCACCAATCATCGAATTTGCTCAGTGTTTTAAAATTAATATTCAACAGTACCTGTGCTTAATCAACAGTGCAATGTGACACTTTGATAAATGGTGCATTCCATTGTATATTGGGACCCTCCACATTATTTTTTTTTTACAGCAGCCTGAATTTGTTCAGTGTCGCATTGAATGTGATTTGGATAAAATATACAATTAATTATTATAACAGCATTACAGTAAATGTATCATGTGGCATAAGAATGTAAACAGGTTTAGTATTCACAGTAAAAACAAACTGCACAATTCACTATAGAAGGTAGCCAATATAAATTATATATAAGCATGTTAATCCCATGATATCAACTATAATGGAAAATGGCCTGTCAATACAGTGCTGATTCATGCTGTATCATTGGGCTGCAGCTCATTCTCATGAATTAATATTTTGCATTACTTGCTGTGGTTGCAGGTACTGTGGTAACACTGCTAATTTGGTCAAACTGGTAAAGGTACTTCAAATAAATAACACAATACAGTAAGGTAATCAATACTTGATTGAGGGGTTCAGATGAAGTTGCCATGTGATTTGCCCTATGCTCATGTTTGCTATACTACTGTTGGTAGCATTATTGCTGCTGAGATACTGCGTTCAAGTCCTACTCCAGTGCTTAAATATCAATGTTGACACTCTAATGTAGTACTGAAGGAGCGCTGCACTATTAGAGATGCTATCTTTTGGAAGAAATGTCAAACCAAGACCCCAATTTCTTGTTTGGATGAACGTAAAAGATCACATTGCATTATTCTGAAGAATGGGGGATTTATCCTCAGTGTCATATCGATATTTATTTTTTAACCAACATCACAAAACACATTTTCTGTCCATTATCAAACTGTTAGGGGTGTGCAAATTGTCTCATTTCTTGCATTGCAAGTGTGTCCATTTGCACTTTGGAAGTGTTTCCTTAATGATAAATGCTTTGAGATGTTCAATGACTGTGAAAAGCATTTTTATTTATTTGTTTGTTTACTCAGTTATGACAGAATAATCAACAGTGACAAATCCCAACCATGTCTGATGTGCAGTCACCTTCACACACAAAAACATTCTGGTCCCAGTTTTCTTCCTCCCCCTCTTACTTTTTCATGGAGACTTGACCTACTATGGGACTTATGAAGAGAGCCGTCCTTTTAATTAGACTTACAACATACAGTATTTGTGCAGCACCCAGCCTAAGAGGTACTCCATTTCCAGCCCTTTGGTGCACTATGGCTGAAAGGACCCAGGGAGCAACCTATCCCCTTTGCGTCTCTGCTGCAGCTGCTCCAACTCTAGCGTGTCTCTCAACGTGTAATCCTGGACCGTAGAATGTGCCAGTCTGCAATACTTAACTGAGGACAACTCCCTCAAAGGAAGACCAGCAAGTTTAGGGCAGATCAAAGAGCATCTTTCACTGAGTTGATGGTTCTTCAGGCACAGTTAATGATTATCTTGGTTTACAGCCCTGGGAACAACCCATAGAACACAAATTCCTGCATTGGAATGAAAGATGTTATATAGAGTGTTATATCTGTTTGTCTTTTGCAATTTCCGATTTGAAATGCTTTTGCTGTTGGGCGTCTACCTCACATGGGATGTGTCGTGTAAATATTCCGACCTTTACAATTGCATCAAGTGGAATATGTTAAATGGAACAAGTTGAATTTTTTGTAAATATTGTGATATTCAAGTTGTAATTACTGTAATGTACTTTTTATAAATGTTATTAATAATGTACATTGTTGGAATAAGCATCCTTTTAATTAGAAGAAAACATAAACAGCTCTAATACTGTGGGTTATTTGCTTCATATAAACTCCTAGTGAGTTTTGCCATATTTAATCATATGATGACCAACACATAAAGCCTTTCCCAAGTAGATTTTCAGAGTTGGTGATAAGCTATCTTAAAATGCCCGATATCTTCAGCAATTTAGAAAACATCCAAACCGAAGCACTAGTCTAAATACACTCGATTTTATTTGATGGGTGGGTTGTGATTCCGGATATTGGCCAATATTTACCCTTCAATCAAAATCACAAAACGCCTTATAGTGTTCAGTATCATATTGCTGACTATGGGAGCTTACTGTGTGCAAAATTGCCCAGTATCCTGCATTACGCCAATACACAATTATTGCATACAGTTCCGGTCGCCACATTACCAAAAGGATGTGGATGCTTTGGAGAGGGTGCAGGGGAGGTTCACCAGGTTGTTGCCTGGTATGGAGGGCACTAGCTATGAAGAGAGGTTGAGTAAATTAGGATTATTTACATTAGAAAGATGGAGGTTGAGGGGGGACCTGATTGAGGTCTACAAAATTATGAGAGGTATAGGCAGGGTGGATAGCAAGAAGCTTTTTCCCAGAGTGGGGGACTCAATTACTAGGGTTGATGATTTCAAGGTGAGAGGGGAATAGGTTAAGGGAGATATGCGTGGAAAGTTCTTTACACAGAGGGTGGTGGGTGCCTGGAAGGCGTTGCCAGCGGAGGTGGTAGAGACGGGCACGATATTTAAGATGTATCTAGACAGATAGATGAATGGGCAGGGAGCAGAAGGATACAGATCCTTGCTCTAGGCCCGAAACGTCAGCCTTCCTGCTCCTCTGATGCTGTTTGGCCTGCTGTGTTCATCCAGCTCTACACCGCGTTATCTTGGAAAATAGGCGACAGGTTTAGATAGAGGATCTGGATCGGCGCAGGCTTGGAAGGCCGAAGGGCCTGTTCCTGTGCTGTAATTTTCTTTGTTCTTTTACACTTTAAAAAGTATTTTATTAGCTGCAAAGCGTTTTGCGCAAGTCGTAAAAGGTGTCATAACGATCCAAGACTGTAATCGTTCGGCTAAATTTGCTGAAACTCTGCTGCACAATCGAGTGTTATTTTAATCAATGATTGAATGATAACACTTAGCCAATATGCTCTAAGGAATCCGAAAATATACGTAGCCCCCTTTAAATAAATGTTGCGTTTTATAATAACATTGAGCCGCAGTTTATGTTTGCTGCGATATTTTCACTCACTCTGCCTTTCCTATATCGGTATGGCAGCATCACTCCAACTCACCCAAAGGCAACTGCTCCAACAGAAAGAGGTAACTGGAAAAGAAGTCACTCCTAATGGTTTTATGGAGAAAGAAAGACATGCTGTTGCGGCACATATCATCATCAGTTCTGTCCCACCGCGACTTAAAAGCATAGTGGGCTTTTTTCCACTCCACCTTTTCTTCCATTATATTTTAGCGTTTGAAATGTCGCTGGGTTTCCTCTATTTCTCCAGGTAATTTTCGGCGATTCGGATCCCACGGTGTAACTTTCCGGTGTCACTGCTCTCAACAACTTGGCGCTAGCCCTTGGACTGATCAGGCTCCGATCCCCCAAGCAGGTGCTGAAAACGCGCCTCCGTATGAACTCCAACCCTCCTACCCAACCAGCTCTGCCTGCATTGATCTCATATAAGCATATTCTGGAAGTCCTAAATCCTGGTGTAAAACAAAGCTTTTGGACAACAAAACGTTGCTGAATGTGAATCTTACTAAATGCTCCATTGAGGTTTGTACAAAGTTCAAACACTTCCTGAGATTATGCAGGAAAGTTGTGGCTCCGTGAGATGACAGGGAACCGAAGTGCCCAGTCAATGATTTGTGTCATGTATGCCAGTGACGCCTTGTGAAAGGAGATGGATTTATCTGCGACGGAGAGATTCACTTCCCCTTCGTACAGTGAAGGAATTAGCAACTTAAAAAAAACATGAGCTAGGTCGTTCAGTGAGTTTGAGAGGAGAAATGCATTAGAAAAATTCACAAACATGTAGATTGGGGAAGTGTGAAGAGAGATAAATTCGTAAAGTAAGCCGCGTGGATTTTAATCATTTAAGACGACAACTCTACCATCATAACATTCGGTTACATTTTCTACAACCCAAATAACCTGTCTGAGAGATTATTCAAAACTTTTTTTTATTCTTTGAGAAAATATATTTCTCATTTGTTTGATAAACGATGTGCTACAGCTACAGTTAAATGAATTGTGTAGACTGCTATATATTATGAACAACTTGCATGTAAAAAAACTAGCATTGTTATAGTACCTTTCATGATCACATGATGTCCCAAAGCACTTTACAGTCAATGAAATATTTTATACAGTCACTACTGTCAAATAGAACATGTGGAAGTCATTTTGCACATTACAAGCACCCACAAACAGCAAATCGATGATGATCGAATAATTTTGGTGATATTGATTGAGAGATATATATTGTCCAGGACAGCAGTGATCATTTCCTTGGTCTTTTTCTAAAAAAAAATTAGTGCCATAGGACAGTTTACATCCACCTGAGAGGACAGACAGGATTTTGGTTTAACGTCTTACCTGAAAGCATCACAAAGGACAGAATGCACTGGAATGTCAGCTTTAATTTTTGTGCTTAAGTCTTGGAATGGGACCTTAACCCAAAACCTTCCTGTCTTTATTAAAATGTTCCAAGACCTTTCCTAAATGTGTATTTAAACATATTGTCACTCAGTCAAAGAAGGGGCTATTAAGAATTATGGCTCAACGTTAATCAGAAATTATATGTTTTAAAAAGGATAATAAGAGAATTGAGATAGATGGAAGAGTAGAGATTTAAGAGATTGAATCCCAGAGTTTAGGGGCTTCACTTTTCAAGTCATACTAACTAACAGTAGGATATAAAAAGTGGAAATGAGCAAGAGACCAGAGTTGGAAGGAAGAAGAGTTCCGGATAGCTCTCAGACTGGAGTATATTTGCAGAAGGGAAAATTGGAGGGGCCCTATACGGATTTGAGGTGATTTGAGGTGAGGGACAATCAGGACTTCATGCAGTCTAGTAGGTCATGGGTGATAGATGAATACAAGACATGATATAGGTGACAAAATTTTGGATGAAAACCGAAAGAACTGCGGATGCTGTAAATCAGGAACAAAAACAAAGTTGCTGGAAAAGCTCAGAGATAGTAGGAACTGCCCATGCTGCAGTCTGAGATAACAAGGTGTAGAGCTGGATGAACAGGGCAGGCCAGGCAGCATCAGAGGAGCAGGAAAGCTGACGTTCTGGAAAAGCTCAGCTGGTCTGGCAGCATCTGTGAAGGAAAAACCAGAGTTAACGTTTCGGGTCTGGTGACCCTTCTTCAGAATCCGTTCACCGGACCCGAAACATTAACTCTGTTTTTTCCTTCACAGATGCTGCCAGATGTGCCAAACTTTTGGATGAGTTGAAGTTTATGGAGAACATACGAAGTTGTGCCTTAGGGTGACAAAAGGTATGGATGAGGGCACGAAGAGTGATTTCAATTACGATATTTAATATTTCCTTTAATAGGTGGGCATTCTTTTCTCCATTTGCACCTTTGCGAAGTGTCTGAACGTCTTGATTTGTTTTCTGTAAATGCAAGTTATTTTTGTTGCTGATGACGCTTTTGATCACAGACCCATTGACCTGGAGTTATTGTTGTTGGCCTGGTGGGGGTGCTGCAGGCGGAGTGTCCACCATTATAGGTTTAGCTCCGCCCTCCGGCGCAGACCCCGCCCTCGCGTACCGCTGCGGATTGTGGGGCGGCTGCACTTGTCCTTGGTAACCCGGGGAGATGCTGTGAGGTTGGCTCTAGTGTTGGGTAAAGTAAGCAAACAAAGAAACTGCTTTTGCGGACAGAACTGGAGCGGCCGATAAAGATGCAACCGGAAGATGCTCGCTACCTGAAGAGGTTGGTGCTGTAGCAGGGGCAGGGTGTTGCTGGTTGCTTTATTGGAAGGACCGGGTTGGGCCCAGGAACCTGCAGTCGCTGTTGTTGCATTTTGTGACTGCGGCACCTTAATCATTCTGCTGTTAACGTCTACTTCACAGCTCCTCTCTCGGCTGTGGGTTTGGCAGACATTTGTGCAGCGTGTACAATACTCTTCTCCCTTGATGCTGACACTACCATAGGGCTCATTTCAAGGTAGCTCCCAGATGCATTCTATTAATGCATTCTGAATGAGTCAGCCTGGATCGTTAATATTGCTATCCTCATTTTTTAAATGGAGAGCATCATTCGCAGTTAAACTGAGTCTTCGCTTGCTGACAAGGATTTCTTTTTCTACCACACCCTCGGTTGGAGAGGTCACTTGCGTCCTATTATCACACTCGTGATGATGATTGGGATACTCGCCAGATGAACTCGTTGAGTCATGAGAACCAATGGTGGTTACCATCGGGCTGTTATCAGGTGGTAACTGGCGAATTTCAGGATGTCTATAATTCTGTATTGACAGAAGTGACGTCTTGTGAATTTACAGTAAATTTGGCGTTGTTTGTGATGGGGAGAGGAGGATGATGGGGAATCACGATTGTGAACTCCAGGTTAGGGAGTACTTTCTCTATAAAATCAACCTGATATATGCATTTTTAAAATTTGATTTACATTTACTATGTTCAACCAACAAATGGATAAATAACAGGTTAAGCACAGCATATACAATTCAACATGAGTAACAACAAATGATTGGTTCACTGTGTGTCAGGCAAAGTAGGATCAAATGTTCTAACGCTTGTGACAAATACAATAGAAATAGGTGTTATCTACTTAGCCCTCAAGCCTGTTCTATTGTTCAATAATACCATGGTTGTAATCTAATTCCATTTACTGACCTTTGCCCCTTATCCCTAATACCTTTGGCTAACAAGCAAATATCACACTTTTAAATTGACAGTTTATCTAGCATTAATTGCAATGTGTGGAAGACATTTCCAAACTTCTACCATCCTTTGCAAAAGGACATATTTCCTAATGTCACTTCTGAAAAGTTTGACTTTTTTGACTATACTCTAAATTTTATTCTTCCTAACTAATGGAAAAAACTTCTCCAAATCTAGCCTATCTGTTCACTTAATATCTTGATAGTTGTAATCAGAGTGCTTCCAAAATCCAAGAAACCCATTCTTAGTGTGTATAATACAAACAGAAATTCCTGGTGAAACTTAGCAAGTCTGGCACCAGCTGTGGAAAGAAAGCAGAGTTAGTGTTTCAAGTCCAGTGATCCTAGATCTTCAGCGCCTGCAGTTTTTATTTTATTAGTTTATGTACTCTCTTTGTTTCTTCCCTCTTGGCATTGATACAATTCTGGGAAGTCTGTCATTTGCCCCTCAAAGTCCAACACATTCATCCTGAGTTCTAGTTCCCAGAACTGCTTAAAGTTGCCTAACCAGGTCTTTTTATAAGTGTGGATTAAATTTTATCCCCTTGTGTTCCAGTTCCCTTGATATAAATTTATGTGCTCTATAAATTTACCCTCTTTATGAATGCCAACATTCCAGTAACTTTACTACTTACTTTTGAGACCTGTTTGTGACATTTCAATAATGTGTATTTGGACTCCCTAGTCTTTATGACCACCTCTATTTACAGCATTGCACCATTTAGGGAGTATTCTGTTCTTTTTCTAGTTAGAAAATGGATGAACTTGCAGTTGTCTGCGTTGAAATCTCTCTCACCCATTTACTTAATCATTGATAATCTCGAGATTTTGTTTTCATGTCAACAATTACGTTATCTAAATTATTGAAAGCAATGTATAAAAATCCTTTGGATGTTACATGCCAATTTTTGCATATTATCACCACTCTGCCACTTGTACAGCCAATTTGCTAACCAGGTCAACAATTTACCTTCAATTCCATGAGTTTCAACTTCAGTTCAAAGACTCAACTGCTCTTTGGAAGCTCATATAATAGTGAAAATGAAGCATATTTGCAAACTAGAGTAGATTTAGTAGGGTATTTTAAGGAAATTAACAAGCACCATGCATATCCAGGGTATATGTGTTCACTGTAAGGCAGTTGATTTTCCTGTAAAGTAACTGAGTGCAATTATGTTGAAATTGGTAACTAAAATAATGTTTCAAATAACGAACAATGGAAAGATTATCTAGTGGTAAGAGACCTGGGGCCAAACAAAAAAGCAAGAAAAAGTGGAAACATTTAGATTGTAGTCATTGCCCTGGATGCTACAGACTGGATTTTAGCTGGACAGAATCACATTTGCATTTTTGCCAGACACATTATGTTGCCCTTCATAGACTGTTACGTTAATCTGTGCATAAATGTGTGCAAAGTTCCTCTCTGAAAACTAAAATGTTGGACATCTAAAAACAGCACTTTACACTTCAACATTGTAAATTTCCAAAACGTGGTTTGCAGAATGATAAACGATAGCAACATGTAATTACATTGTCT